GGGCTCGGCTCTCCCCCGCCCGGCGGCCAGAGCCCCAGGGGGAGGGCGGCCAGAGCCCTGGCTGGGGCTCGGCTCTCCCCCCCCCGCCCGCGCGCCGCCCCGCCGCCCCCCCCCCCGCGCCGCCCCCAGCACCCGCCCGGCCGCCCGGTGCCTGGGGCCGGCCCTGTCTATAGGGATGCAGTCCAGTAGGCAAGCTCTGGGGACACTTGCCAAATTGACACTTCCCCATCTGCAGTGGTGCTGGAACACTTTCTAGAGTGGGGGTGCTGTGCCCCCCCTTACCCCATCCGCACTCCCATGCCCCCCTAAAGCTGGGGCTGGGAGCAGGGCCGTGGAGCCAGGAGGGGGGGACATGGATAGAGGTAAGGGGGCCGAGGCTGGGGCCACAGCTGGGGGCAGGTGCGGATCTGGGACCCCAAGGTGCAGGGCCGGGAGTGGAGCCCCGTGTAAAGCCTGAGGGTGCTGCAGCACCCCCCCCCCCCGTGACCTTATTGATATAATCTGGGACCATATAGAACATGGTTGCAACCAAGGTCCTGTAGTGGCACCAAATCGTGTATAAAGGGGGTCTAATGAGGTGTCTAAGACAAGGTTATGGTTTGCTGGTTATGATTATGCTGTCTATATGTGTGTATCAATTTTGTAGTTGAAGTTATGAATATTGGCTCTATACTGTCTGTATTTCAAACTTATGCTATGCTTCTGGGAGACATCCCAGACAAGCTGGTGTTAGCTCTGCCTAGCCTGCTTGATGGCCCATTAAGGACCATCAGCTATACAATGGACCCATTGAGAGAAGGCAAATATGCCTTGAGACTCAGCAAAGTATGCAGGGACTGGCCCATGTGACTCCAGACTCCATTTTGCTGTAATTTTCCACAGTAAGGACAAAGAGATGTTCTTACACCTGGAAAAGACTATAAAAGGCTGATGCCTCGTTTCCATCTTGTCTTCAATCCTACTTCTTACCTCTGGAGGAACTTTGCTACAAGCTGAAGCTCTGAACAAAGGACTGAGGACCCATCCCACCTGGGGATGTATTCCAGAGACTTGATTTGAACCTGCAGTTTATTTCATCACTGCTACAAGCCTGAACCAAGAACTTTGCCATTACTGGCTCTCATCTCTATCTTTTTCCTTTTATGAATAAAACTTTAGATTTTAGATTCTAAAGGATTGGCAACAGCGTGATTTGTGGGTAAGCTCTGATTTGTGTATTGACCTGGGTCTGGGGCTTGGTCCTTTGGGATCAGGAGAACCTTTTTCTTTTACTGGGGTCTTGGTTTTCATAACCATTCATCCCCATAACGAGTGGCACTGGTGGTGTACTGGGAAACTGGAGTGTCTAAGGGAATTGCTTGTGTGACGTGTGGTTAGCCAGTGGGGTGAGACCAAAGTCTTCACTGTCTGGCTGGTTTGGTTTGCCTTAGAAGTGGAAAAACCCCAGCCTTGGGCTGTAACTGCCCTATTTTAAGCGATTTGTCCTGAATTGGCACTCTCGGTTGGGTCCCGCCAGAACCGCATCGTTACACCCCCACATCCCTAGTTCCTGCAGCTATGCCCGTCTGGACACCCGGTGAGGGACTGCACTGTGCGTGTTCGGAGGCGCCTAGAGAATGTTTACTGCAAAAATGTAGGTGCTGCATGAGTTTAGGGGCCTACGGGGTTCGGCAGCTTCTGAGCAAGGATTTGGTTGATCTCAGTGGTGCCTGATTATAGGATTTAGGCACCTAAGTCCTTTTGTGACTCTAGCCCTGGGTCTCAGTTTCTCAGTTCCCCATCTGTAGAATGGGTAGAATGGCCCCTCCCTACCTCACAAGGGAGGGGTAAGGATAAATACATTAAAGACTGTGAGCTGCTCAGATGCTGTGGTAATGGCGGAGGCCATATAAGAACCAGTGGCCGCAGAACAGGGCCCCTATTTCAATTGGAGACTCCAAGTGCTGGTGTAATGAATAGTCTCTTTCCCTCCTGCGGCAGCAGCCATGGCAAAGGATTACAAGAATTCCCTGCTCCAAAGTCTCCATCTCTGCCTAGGCTCCCCATCGTCAGTGCTCTAGTTTGCCCCGTCCCTGCCTGGGCTGTTGCAGGTGCCCCAGGTCCTGGCGAGGGGCTCTGCAGTGCCAGAGGTTGATAGCAGCAGTCAGGAAGCGAGTGTCATGCTTGGCGAATCTTTCTGCTCCTTGGCCTCTTGGCGGGGTAGAGTTTTCATTCATCAAGTGCTGTGATTTGGGGCGGTTCATTCATTTCCGGCAGGTAACTTCACAGATTAGCAGGACTTTGTGTCTGCGTTTGAGTCTAGCTGGGAAGAAGCAAGTCACCCCAGCTCGCTGGTTCTGTGTTGCACGGTGTCGCTCGAATGGCTGCAGGGGGCAGTTCTGGTGTTTCTGAGATCCATGTCCAGTCCAGGGTGGGGCTGGCTGCACGTGTGGGACTGGAGACGTCCTGTGAGAATAGGAGCTGGAAAAATCCAACGGAAGGATTTTTTGCTGCTGTGTCTGAGGAATTATTTGTCTGGATGTCCAAGTCCCACAACACCATGAGCCTGGTTCATCAGCATGTCAGACAGCGTCTCTGTCCATGGCTCTGGGACCTTTGGGGAAGCAGTGACTCTGAAAAGGACCAAAAGGTCGTGGTGGAAACATAGCTTCCAATGCAATGCTGTAGCAAAGACGGCTAGTAATGATTCTGGGATAGATTGGCAGGGGACTAGGAAATAGCAGTAACGAGGCGATATTACCTCTTTAAATGGGATTGGTTAGACCATTGATGGATGCTGTGTCTAGTTCTGCTGTTCACACTGAAAAAAAGATGGTGTCAAATTAGCGCAGGTTTCGAAAAGAGCTACAAGAATGATTTGTCGACTGGAAAACCTGCTTTAGAGATTCATAGTTTACAAGGGCTGAATGGACCGTTGCGATCATCTACTCTGACCTCCTGTGTAATGTGGGCCATAGGAGTGCCCCTGAATTACCCTGTTTAAAACAGAACAAACCCCTCCTCCTCCCCCCCCACCCAAATCCTGATTTAAAAATTCCCAGTGCTGGAGAATCCGCCATAACCCTTAGTAAGTCTTTCCCAATGCTCAGTTGCCCTCACTGTTCAAACTTTGCAACTTATGTCAAGTCTAAATTTGTCCAGCTTCAACTTCCAGCCATTGGATCTTGTTCTACCTTTTTCTGCTAGACTGGGAGCCCATTATTGTTATATTTCTGTTCCCCGTGTAGGCATTCATAGATTGCGGTCAAGTCTCCCCTTCACCTTTTCTTTGATCAACAGGAGAGATTGAGCTCCTAGAGGTTTTAATTAGAAGGCCTGTTTTCAATCCTTGTGTCACACTCATTGTTCTTCTCTGAACGACCCCGAATTTTTCAACAGCCTTATTTAATCGCTGGCACCAGAAATGGACATTGAATTCCAGCAGTGGTCGTATGATTCTAAAACACAGAGGTAACAGAACCTCTCTACTGATACTCGAGAGTCCCGTTTCTGCCTCCAAGGTGTCCAATGGCTACTTTGGCCTCAGTGTCGCACTGGAAGCTCATGTTCAGCTGATTATCCCCCGTAACCCCAACACTGTTTTTCAGAGATATTGCTTCCAAAGAGAGTCTCCATTCGAATAAGGATGGCCTGCATTCTTTGTTCCTAGATGTATCATTTTACATTTAGCCATATTGAAGCAGTGTTTTCTTGCACCCATCTCACCGGGCGATCCAGAGGGCTCTGTATCAGTGACCTGTCCGCTTCTTTAATTACCATTCCCCCAGTCTTTGTGTCATCTGTGAACTTATCAGTGATCATTTTAAGCTTTCTTCCACAGCATTGATAAAAATGTTAAATAGCTTAGGGCCAAGACGGGACCCCACTCAAAACAAACATGCTTGACAATGATTCCATTTACAGCTATGTTTTGAGATTTATCAGTTAGCCAGTTTTTATTTTTCTAAGCTGGGGGCAAGCAAACAATATGTGTTTTAATATGGCTAAATATAAATGAAAACGTCTAGGAACAAAGATTGTCGGCCATACTTTCACAGCGGGGGGCTCTGTCCTGGAAAGCAGTGACTCTGGAAAAAAAAATGGGGAGTTGTTGTGGATAATCAGCTGAACGTGAGCTCCAGTGTGATTTTTTGTGTCCAATTGCTAATGCAATCCTTGGATGCATAAACAGGGGAATCTCAAGTAGGAGCAGAGAGGGTTATTTTACCTCTGGTTTTGGTGCTGGTGGAATACTGTGACTGTGGGATAAGCTTCAGTCACCACTCGGCCCTCGTTACTCACCAGAGAATGCACACAGGAGAGAGACCCTACACGTGTGATGACTGTGGGAAAAGCTTCCGCTGGCGATCATCCCATATCACTCACCAGAGAATCCACTCGGGAGAAAAACCTTACAGTTGCTCTGACTGTGAGAAAAGCTTCAGACAGCATTCAAACCTTCTTAAACATTACAGAATCCACTCAGGAGAGAAGCCCTGTAAATGCCCCGACTGTGGGAAAAGCTTCACTCAGAGCTCCCGCCTTACTGAACATCAGAGAATGCACACAGGAGAGAGACCCTTTAGTTGTCCCGACTGTGGGAAATGCTTCTTCGTCAGCTCAACCCTCATTCACCATCAGAGAATCCACACTGGAGAGCGACCCTATAAGTGTTCCGAGTGTGGGAAAAGCTTTGTTCGGCAATCCCAACTGGTTATACACCAGAGAATCCACACAGGAGAGAAGCCCTATAAATGCAATGAGTGCAAGAAAAACTTCAGTGACAGATCAGACCTCACTAAGCACCAGAGAAAACACACTGGAGAGAAGCCCTACAAGTGCCCCGATTGCGGGAAAAGCTACTGTTTCCGATCAGACCTCACTAAACATCAGAGAATCCATACAGGAGAGAAGCCCTTCAATTGCCCCAAATGTGGGAAAAGCTTCGGTCGGAGATCTAACCTTATTATACACCAGAGAATCCACACAGGGGAGAGACCTTATATATGCCCTGAATGTGGAAAAAGCTTCAGTGACAGATCAGACCTCACTAAGCATCAGAAAAAACACACGGAAGAAAAGCCCTACAAATGCCTTGAGTGCGAGAAAAGCTTTGATCGGCACTCAAATCTTATTATGCACCAGAGAATCCACACAGGAGAGAAACCCTACAATTGCCTGGACTGTGGGAAAAGCTTCAGTCGCAGCTCAACCCTCACTACACACCAGAGGATCCACACGGGCGAGAAGCCCTACAAATGCCCTGGGTGTGGGAGAAGCTTCAGGGACAACTCAGCCTTTATTAGGCATCAGAGAATCCACACGGAAGAGAAACGCTAGAAATGTCCGTGTCTCCGGATGGACCAAGTGAATAAGACCTGTGCCGATTCCTAGGAATCTCAGAGGTCAGGCCAGGCTGGAGCGGGGAAGTGATGAGCACGTGCCATAGTTATTAAAGCAGAGAATGAAATCACCTTCCTGGACTAGAGCTGTGCAGAGCAAGAGGCTGAGGTAAGTGTGACTGGATTTGATTATTACGTCTCGAGCTCTGGATATCCTCTGTTCAGTTCTGCGTTTAAGTTAATTACCCACAACTGGTCGATTCGTTCTCTAATTTAGGGGTGTTCTTGGATTCCTTGCTGACACTAAGATCCCCAACATCCACAAGTAACAGTTTCTATCATCACCAGTTGGCAAGGAGACGCCATCCCATCCTAGTGGATGAAGGCCTGGCCTTCTTCAGTCACACCTTTGTCACTGCATGGCTGGACTACAACAAGGTGATATACCTGGGCATGAACTCATCAGCACTTAGGAAAGTCCAGCTACTACAGAACACTGCAGCACATCTTCTACCGCGGACGCATCAGGCCATAGAACATCAAATCAAGTTCAAGATCTCAGTCCTTATCTCTGTGTCCAGAGCCCTGGATAAATAAAACGCCATCTACAGCTCCAGCATGAAAACCACGGTCAACAACTTTGCTCCTTTTGCACAATGGAACTTTCTACAGTACGGGTAAATCTTGTGTGTGCATGAAACAGAACTTTCTTGGAGGACAGTCCGAGACTGTGGAATGAGCTCCCCCAGGAACTAAGGACCATCGCAAACCTCCCCACCTTCTGCTCCCAATGCAAGCCACGTTTTTGTGACCCTGCCTTCTCTATCACAAATACATAGCATTGCCTACATTAAATAAGTCACTGCATTTTTTTAATTTATTAAATATTTTCAATCTTTTTTTCCTATAACAAACAGAAGGAATTCCAGGTGTCAAAATTTAGAACAAGTTTAAAAGTACTGTACGTCAGAAAAGAGAAAAGACCAAGATGTTTACACGTTGTTTGGACTCCCATGTATTCCCAGCACACCGGTTTTTATGGCACATATATAAATAAATAAGTAAAAATTAAGGAAATCAAAATCAAAGAGGAAATAGGTTGTGGGGGTTGTGGAGAGGAAGAGGAGAAGGGATGAGGAGGAAGAGTGTGATTTATTTCCTACCTTTCATCCAGGTCTCCTGCAGGGATCATCAGTCGACAACTTCTAGTAAACTGTCCCAAAGATAATCCAATTTTCCTGGGGTTTGCTATGTATTGTGTGTCCTCCTTTCCTTTGCAATCAGATCTGCCAAGCAGCTACACCAGCCTCTGTGCCCTGAGGGGGAATTTACTTTTCCAATGTAGCAAAATGTGATGTCTCAAAACCAGTAAATCTCTGTGAAGCCATTCCCTTTGGTATAGCCTCCATTTGCTGGATATATGATCCCTTTTGCAGGTGTCTGCTTTAAGGCTGAGTGAAGCCTCTAGAATCTTGCTAATTCCGGTTTTAATATCATCCCAGAAGCTTGAAACAACAGGACGTGACAAAAAATATGTGCACGGATGGCTCCCGCACCCCACACCTCCAACACGGATCATCGGGGTTAGCTTTAATTTTGTCAATTCTTTGGGGTGGCCGATTCAACGTAAAGATGATTTTGTTTGTTTCTTTGTTTATTGAATGGCATGCAATTGGAGGTCTAGGATCACTTATTTCATATCTTGTATTGCTCAATTCCATTATGGGAGTGAGATTTTTTTGGCAATTCTTCGTTCCATTTTTGCCTTATTGCATGTTAACTTTTGGTGGGTCGTTAGGAACTCAAACGTCGTCGCTGCCAATCTGGTGAAATGGTACAACTCTTTACAAAATGTAAGACGTTCGGGAGCTTTGGACAGAGCAAGTGCATCCGGGCTGAATTCAAAGGTGAGGAAGTGAATAATTTGAATGTGTTGCAGCAGGGATAGCAGGCAGCCTGGACTTGTTCCTCTCTGTAATGAGAACGGTTCTGAAATATAGCTAGTGGTGATCACTCGGCAGGAGGGATAGTGTAGAACAGTTTAATTCAATTAACAAAGTGGTCGCTGAATTCCTTTCTCTTAAGGACCATAAAGACATAATCCCAGGCAACCCTACTGAAGTCTTCTTAATGCGACCAAAAGTTCCTTTGAGTGCTGCGATATTATATTGTGTTGACGAGATACGTAAGGTTGTAATTAGCTAGCTATGTAAATACATTGAAGCTAATTTCCAGGAATGTCAATATACCTGATCAGCTGAGTAGGGAAGAAAAACAACAATAATAAGAGATTCTATTTAAAAGTTAATCTGCTGCTGGTGGCATGGACAGATAACAAGGTCCCAGGGTAACTACAGTTACTGGGCTAGAGAGAGAGAGAGAATCCAGTTTGTGTAACTCAAATTGGAGTCTGATAGAATCCCTGAAGTGAGGTGTCTACACGGGTAAGTTTGTCGGGTGTGTGTTTCCCGCTGTAATTAGCTCAGGATAACCACAGTGAAAGAGTGCGTCCACACAGCGCCGCCCTTTTTCAAAATAACCACATGGCATTCTGGTTGGATCGCCCGCAGGGAGGTGTTCTGCTGCTGGATTCTCTGCCTGGCTGGATTTGGCTCCTAGTGCACCATGGTTTTCCTCTTGGAATTCTGGGGCATGGGGTCAAACTAACAAATGCCCACAATTCCTCGCCCGACATCCTGTAACTCACCTGCTGTTGTGTGTGTGTGGGGGGGGGGGTCCTGGTTTGTTTGTTTTTTGTTGCAGATCAGCACAATTTTCAAACTGCTCTCAGGCAGCAGGGAGAAAACACCGCTGAGCTGCACTATCCTGGCATTCATTCAAACGAGGCTGCTCCATATGTCATGGCAGCTGGCTGGTGATAGAGCCAGAGGAGAAGTGGAGCTCTTTGCCTTTTCCTGCATGGCCTGTCCTTTGTCCACGAGCGAGCTTGCTGAAAGGAAACCGCCCTCCACGCTTGAGGCCTTGGCCCTCTGGTGGGATGCAGCATGCAGGTCCTCCCTTCTCTCTCACTTCCACAGGAGGTTTGCCAGGTGTTAATGACAGATAAGGACGCGGCTGTTGCAGGTACGATGGGGAAGCAGCATCGTCTCAATGCTCGACTCCGTGCCAGCAAGGATCATAAGAACATAAGAACGGCCGTACCGGGTCAGACCAAAGGTCCATCTAGCCCAGTATCCTGTCTACCGACAGTGGCCAATGCCAGGTGCCCCAGAGGGAGTGAACCTAACAGGCAGTGATCAAGTGATCTCTCTCCTGCCATCCATCTCCACCCTCTGACAAACAGAGGCTAGGGACACCATTCCTTACTCGTCCTGGCTAATAGCCATTAATGGACTTAACCACCATGAATTTATCCAGTTCTCTTTTAAATGCTGTTATAGTCCTAACCTTCACAACCTCCTCAGGCAAGGAGTTCCACAAGTTGACTGTGCGCTGCGTGAAGAAGAACTTCCTTGTATTTGTTTTAAACCTGCTGCCTATTAAGGCAGCCTATCAAATGTTGCTTTTTCCTTACATTTGGAATGCCGTTCCCATGCGCTCTTCCCAGTCTGGGCTGAGCTTGGAGATGCCATGTTTTCCAGCTTGCTGCCCCTGCCTGCAGTGATGCCGCCGAATTAATTGCTGAGTGGTGGGAAAGTGACCTACTGTGGCAGAAGAAATAAGGCAGCCCTCCCCAGAACCTTCGGCAGAGGATTACAGATTACCTCCAGGAAAGTTCTTGAGAGCTCTGGAGGATTCATGGGACATCCTCGTGTTCAGAAACAAACTGGGGGTGTGGCAGGGAATGAGAAGTGGATAACCAGGAGTGGTAGAGGGGTTATTTCACTGTCATTTGTAACACAAATAAAGAATAGTAAATGAGAAGATGTGTCCCTGCAACAGCAATGCAAACTGCACATTTACCAGAAGTTCCTTCCCCGGAATTACACTGGCTCGCCCGTGCTGGAGCGTTGGGGCTGGCTGGAGTGCTCCAGGGTTAAAAACTGCTCCAGGCTCACCATGGCTGGATTCCCTGGTCGCCTGTCCCCCGTTCCCCTCCTCCTCCAACACCTCAGCCGCACGGCTGACCTTGGCCCGTGACTCCAACTCCTCTGATGTGTCCACAGGGCCCTTGGTGGTGGAGGTGGGGTCACAGCAGAGCAGAGCATGCAGCTCCTTGTAAAAGCAGCATGTCTGCCACAGTGGCACTACTGCGAGTCCCTGTCGCAGCCTTTCTCCCCCAGCCACGCCATGAGCGATCTGCTCATAGATAGCCCCATTGCTATGGCTGGATGGGAGCTCTGCCTGCACAGACTTCTCCCCACAGAGCTGGGAGAGCCACCGCCTTCGGTGTACTCCAGATAGGAGCACAGTTGGAGCATGGAGCCGGCATGCTCAGCTGGGCAGTTGCTAGGTGAGTCAAGCAAACAGGAAATGGAATTTCAAAAATGTGCAGGCCTTTAACCGGGGAGAGGCATGTTCCTATGTTCCTGGCCACCAAGAAGCAGAGTTCAAGACGGTGACCAGAGTGGTCACGGTGGGGCATTGTGGGACACCTCCCAGAGGCCACTAAAGTCGACGTAAGTAACACAGGGTCTACTCTGGCACTGCATCCACCCAACATTCCTACAGCGACATAAGCGCTACCCTACCTCTCGTGCAGGAGGCGTTATGTCAGCGCAGTGGGTGACTGACTTTGGCGGAAGCAGCATTGTAGTGTAGACGCTGACATAATTAGGTTGATGCAAGCCGCCTTG